CTCTGTCAATGGCGTGAGCTGAGTAACAAAATACATCATAAAAATTGGTTTAAAATACTCCTGACTACCCAAATTACTCCTTTTCATTTGCTCATCAATCCCATGGATGGACACTGTTTCTTTCTGAATCATCTTTTTTTCCTCTGGGGGAGAAATGAGTAACTTTCCACCTCTTACCTCTCAGCTGCTTCTTACATATTTCTTCCTCAGGCTTAACATCAGTTTTGGGATCAACAGGAACAGCTCTTTGTATTTTTATCAGCTCTGGAATGGCCCACATGCAACAGGGGCAACAAAGAAAATTGTGCTAGCAAATGCATACTTGATAAAACACTATTTGAACAAAGCAGTTACAGCTTAAGTGATAACAGTAGAAAATTACAACTGGCACACACCACAAAGTACAAACACTGTAGTACTCAAACACTTGTAGTACTCAAGCAAGAAGCATTGGGAAGAGAGCACTATAGCCAAAATTTTCAGATTTTGCCATCCAAATGTAAAAATTTAGGGAACAATCAAGGTTCCTATCATTATCACTTGTCTAGAGTAATGTTACACTCCCTCTGATGTTCCACATGGTTTTTAGTTCACAGAATTCACAGAATGACTAGGTTGGAAGAGACCAGCTAGTTACAATAGTGTCCTGAGAGCCAGGTTCATGAATGTCAGTCCTGGATATTTTAGGACATACAAAATGACAGCAGAAAACCTGATTTACTCTTCTAATTTCAGATTTGGCCATATAGGGTACTTTGACTTTTTCAGAGGTGCTGACACTATCAATGAAACCTACTTTTCATGATTTATTTACTTTTGGTTTTTTGTTTGTTTTTTTTTTCTTTATTTTTAATTTAAAAAAGATTGAAAGGCTACTAAAATTGCTATAAGCAATTGCATTAAATACTGTGCTCAGCTCACAGCTACAAGGCACAGTTCTGTGTCATTACTGGAATGTTTACACTGATGGATGGCAATGCTGCTGCTGTTCTGATTGCTGGTTTATTCAAAAAACTGAAACAAGTATTGAAATAGTTGAAACTGAAATTGCAGGTTAATGACTAAACCTTTCCTTTTTCCATTTCAATACAACAGGCCAACTAATCCACCAGTTATTCACACACTTCCAGCTCCTGGTAGCTGAGCAACAGGGTGATTTACTGGAGACATCTGCCTCACACAGCTGTGCAGCAGCTGGGGAAGTGCCTGCACCAGGGAACGTGGCTCTGACACTCCCAAACTGGGGGGACACATCCACGAGCAAGAGCCTTAAGGTGTTTTATTAATGTTATGAAGCAAATGTAGAACTCAGCTATTAGAAGTGGGTGCCAGCTGCCCCGCAGGTGCCAAGAACAGCCTAAGGAGAAGGTAAATGGGAGAAAGAGGGAGACAACCTTCACCCCCAGGCACTGAGCTCGTAAGAGAGTTGAAGCAGCCCTGGTGGAATTAATTTAATTTGCGTTTCAAGGCCCACAGTGTAAACACCTGCAGCTGAGCCAGCCACCCAAGGCTGCTGCTGGAGGCAAGAAGCAGAAACAGGCACAGCCCATCTAAGCTGGTTTGGAGTCCTGCACTGGAAACAGGCACCAGGGTGGTCTCTGTTCCCTGGCATTTAGTGACACAGGTCCCACCTGTCCTGGGGGACATGAAAGCAGCAGACCCTTGAGACGAGGCTGGTTCCCTGCTCCTCTGCTGCCAGTGCACAGCATGGGCAGCATTTTGCAGCTCCAGACACTGTGCAGGCAGCTTCCAGAAGGAATCAGGGAACTGGGAAAACTGTCTTCTGGATCTGGACAGTTTCTGAACCTCAGCTCTGGTGTCACCCTCTTATAGGCACAATTCATTAAACAAATCTTTGCATAAAGACTTAAATATTTTAGTATAAATATCTAAAATTACCACTGCTACTCAGAATAAAGCTGATCACAGATTTCTTTAATAAAACCACTTGTTTTTCTTTTTCCTCAGGCTGATACAACACATGTCCGAGAACTCTATGTTGTCAACAGCTACATGTTGTCATGCACAGGAATAAAGGGTTTTTCCTAAGATCAAGGTTAAGGAACTTTGTCAGTGGTAAAAACAGCTTTCCAAGCAATCCTTGAATGGCACTGACTGTGAAGTATTTAGTGCCAGCCTCTTGAAATTCGAGTTATGAACTGTTCTGCTGTCAAAGAGATTCCACATTTTAATATTCCTTTCCTGTTTGTGGAGGAAAACACTACTCCTGCTTAAGAGGACTTGCAGCAGGAGCTGCAAAACCTTACTTTTGTTAACTTTACATGTGACTAATTGCTGGACAGACTTCTTGCTGACCCTGCCAAGATGCTGTGCAGCCCGGGAGGCTGGCAATGCTCCTGGGACATCATGAGCCCACTTTCACTTCCACAATGCACTCTGTTGCCTTTCTGTTCTTCTCTCAAAGCATTAGTGGCTCCCCCCCAGTCTGCTTTGCAGGACAGCTGCAATTAGAATTTGGGATCAATATTTATTTGAAAATTGGTATTTTATTTTACTTTTCTCAAGACATAGCTTGGTTCAAGTTTGATACAGAAACCACTCACTTAGATGCCTTAAAACAGAAGAGATTCTGAGTACTGAGTGAAGTCTTTTAAAATCCTAAACCCAAACTTATCTATCCATTGCTTTTCAGGATTTGAAATATCTCTCACATGGGCTAAGACCACTGCTGAGTGTCAGTGGCACACAGATCTCTTTCCACCCAGGAAAAAGCACAAAAAAGCATTTTCAAGTTCAATATCCAAGCAGGGAAGATTGGCTGATGTCAATCCTCAGGCAGAGTACCTGTATAATTGTTTTTCAGCACAATACAATCACTGTAAAAGGGGTTTAATCATGCCTTCATTTCAGAGGAGGGAAATTGCCACAGTGAAATTAACACCAGAATGTTATTTCATCATAGTCAAATTCTACAGGGAGTCTTTGGAGAGAAAAACTTGTTTCAGATGTTGCACAGAACTTACTGTCATGGTGAAGATAAAATACTGCACTTACTTCTCTTACACTGGGACTGTCCATCCAGAGAGGAAATAACAGGAACCTGGTGAAAAGAAGTATATGATCATATAAAAACAGAGAAAAAAATTATCCAGCAGTAGCACCCTTAAAAAAAAAATAAAATAAAAAAAAACTACAACACACAAAAAACCCCAAAGCAACATCTACAGCAATCAACAAAATATTTTGTCACTTTCTAGAGCCTCATTTTCAGACTGTTGTAATGAAGTTGAGGAGCTACTATCCCAGCTAAATATTCCTTCTGCATTCACCTCGAGTAGCCTGAAGTGAGCCAGCGCTGGAACTGGAGCCATGGCAAGGAAAATCTGCTACTACAGACTAAACCAACAAAGAAGGGGGTTCCCAGCTCAGGCAATGCTCTTGGCACTGGAGCAGTTCTGAGCTCTGAATTCATGTTCTTGGGGGCAGAAAAGATGCACGTGGTAACGTCTTATCACAGAGAAATTTTGCTCAGCTTTTGTGCCAGAACCTTGTCCTTTAAAAATAATTAAAAGACTGTTTTCCAAAGGCATTGGGGTACCTAGCAGAAACTTAGGAGACAGAGGGGGAAAAAATTGATTTGCCTAATTTCCACTGAAATCCGAGATAAATGGTTCTAATCTGTATCCTTGGAAATCTGCAATTAGGTAATTCATTAACACTGGATTTAGTCTATTAAAAGCTGTACATTTTTCCCTGAACCATACTCAATTCATGCTAGAGAAATAAATTTGCACAGGTAGTTTTATTCTGAATTTCCTGGCTTTTTACTCCGAGTCTTTGCCTTCTGAAAAGTATTAATTGACTCAATTTTCACCCGTGACAAAGAATCCACCTGCGTTAGTAAAACAGGAGATTTTACATTCATAGTGACAGAATTTTCATTCACATTTAGACCTGACTAGTAAATGTACATGATTTCTACCGTGTTACCCAGAATGAGAACTCTAGCTGTCAATTTAAACAACTTTCACTCTTATTTGTCATACAGCTTTTCTCCCTTCAGACACCTTCTCTTCCTTTATATATTCTCCAGCAAACCTCCACAATTTCAACTCTTCCATCTTTTCTGATGGAAGACTTTTCCCTCATTTCAATCACCGGTGGCCTGGCGTTTCATTTGCTCTGTAACTTTTGTTACCTTATTTAGCCCTCGAAAACACCCACAGGGAATATTACCTCAGCAGCTCATCATTTTACAGGAGCTGGAAAATCTACAGAGGCTACGTTGCTGATGTGCAGGATGCTGCTGCAGCACCTTCACCAGGGCATTCTGCACAGAGCAGGTGAATATTTTCCCCATGCACTAGTGCAATAATGACCCAGCTGCCTCTGCTCCTCTCCGGGGCACTTTCTGTCTGCAGGCACTGGAAGTAACGACAGTCTCCCTGTGCTGCCTGATGTCAGAGCTGAGAAAGGTGTCAAGGATATATAAGAGCCAGAAAGGAAGAGGGGAAAGGATACTCCAGAGCTAGATGCAAGCGTGGAATTGTTGCATGAACACTTCTTGCTAACCAAGAGGGCTCGCTGCCTTCTCCAGGTAGATCCGTGGCCACAAAAAGGTAAATAATCTCCCTTTTTCCTTACTTTACCTGCAGTGCAACAGATGTGCTTCAAAAAGCACAATATTATTATTAATCAAGAGGATTTTTCATGAAAAGGTTAAGACATCTTTAAAGTAAACTGCACTGGGGAGCAGAATTTGAGACTGGGATGTGTCAGGGAATGCAAACCAGAGGTAAGGGATAGGATTGAAAGTACTGGATGGAAAATGAGCATTTACTGCTGAGAGCTATATTTCTGAAACTGAATTGTGTATCACTAAACTTGAGGGGATCATTTTTCTCACTCCAGCCTGTGAAAAAGACTAGCTGCTCTTGATTGAGGACAGAATGGGCATCAACAACAGGAGATGCTGAGGAGTATTTGGGTTAGCTTTCAGTTTTGAATCATTGTTCTTTGCAGAAAGTTTGGCAGGAAAGATGTGCAACCTAAAGCTGCCAGTTTTCTTCATTGCACTTTCTGTCGCTCTGAGCTGTTTGGAAGCTACACCTATTGAGAGGTGAGTAACAAATAATCATCTTTATTTCTCTTTAGGGAAAAGGGTGTTCAGACTATTGCATGAGTTGCTTTTGCTTTCATGTCTCACGTGTTATAAAAACGGATTTATTCGAGCTCACTGTTTTATTGTTGCTCACAGATTACTGTCTGTGGCTGATGATCTAGCTGATGGTACTTCCAAGAGACAAGGATGGATGTTGCCTGTAATGTCACAGAATACACTCTCAGGACTCAGTGAGGAAATGCCAGAACAACCAGCAGCAAAGACAAAAAGGTATTGAATTTCCCTTGTTTCTTCCAGCCACATCAGACTGAACCATGGAGCAAACTTTGTTCCAGTGGTATCCTGCTACTTGAGAGACTTCAGCTGTTTTTCTCAAAAAAAAAAGAGATGAAAATATCCTTCTACTAAATAGAGGTTGCCTGTAAGCATAAAGATCAGCTTTTCTGTAACATAAAGATCAAAGCATTCAGGGTGGAAAGTGAAATCCAGGGACAAAGTTACAAATCATTTAATCATTTTGCAATTATAACACTTTCATAAATTACAAAGGCTGCAAATAGTACATTACCTGGAGAAGAAAGGTGTATTCTGCAAGTGCCTTTCTTTTTAAAAATTTGTCAGATTTCCAAGCCTGAAGAGGGAAAAAAAAAAAGAAAACATACCCTTCTTAATAATACTACTGTTCTGCTAGAGTGGAATTATTTTATAGTATAAATGCTTTCAGTAATTAAGCAATTTTAAAATCACAGAATTAAATACTAATTTAATCACGGGAAGAAGGAAAAGAAGAAATTGGTTCTGATAGAATTTCACTTGTCTGAATCACATTCTCATTTATAAATTCATAAATTCAATTTCAGGCAACTTTTTAACGAATAAAAACAATTTCAAGATTTATTAGCAATTTGTACTAAAAGATAAGCAGCACTGAACTATTCTACTTTTCACAGAATCATCAAGGTGGGAAGAGAGCTTCAGGTTCATCCAGTTTGGTCAGGCTTTTGAGTGAATTTCTTTCAATGACAATTCTGTTACAGAGGAATTCAATAAATACATATGTATATATAGTTGCCTGTTCCTCTGTCTTTGAATATATATTTAAAAAATTCTATTATATGACAAATTTTATACCTTCCAAAGTATTTTTATAGCAGAGATGAAATTCTCACACTTTTTACAGCTATCACTTTAAAAATAAATACAAACCCCCCCAAAACAACAGTAATATTCAAACACAAGGCATCACCTTGAGGAGTGTGGTGTGTCTTATCTGCTTTCCTGGGGCCCAGAACCACCTCTCATTGAGTGAATTGTCTAGTGGCAGCAAATATTCATTTAAAGCTAAAAAAAACATGTCTCACTGGTGAATTGTCTTCTGGCAGCAAATATTCATTTAAAGCTAAAGGGGTGGTGGGTTCAGCCAGGCTGGACATGAGATAGAAACCCAGCAGCTCCAGTAAGGGCTGGAGTTTTCAACTTGATTTTGTAGCTTTGATGGAAAAGAGAATTCTGCCTCCACAAACAAAGCAGGATCTCTGGGAGAACCAGCTGCTCTTTGAACCTTGTGTGTTAAAGGCTTGGTTGAAACCAGTAGAAATACCCATGAAAGTCAATGAGAGGTTATATAAAGCCCCTGTCCAACAATTTTCTTTTAATGCAATTACACATTTAAAATATTAATTGCTTAAAAACTGCTGCATATCTACTAATGAAGAACCAGTATAATATGGACATTCCTTACACTGCTGTTATTCTACTTGGATTTTTAGATCAAAACAAATAATTTCATAGAATACAGACATTTCTTATACTGTTGCTATTCTACTTGGATTTTTAGATCAAAACAAATAATTTCAAAAGGTGACATGACATTCGAGATTATAGATCTAATAATCAGTAAGGAAAGGAACTTATTGGTAACTGCTCAGAGTTTGAAACTGGGATATTCTTGCTCTTCACAGTAAATTTGAGCCACAAAGTGGTGTCTAACTCATGCCATATCAACATGAAGAAATCCAAGAAAATAAGCAATAACTCAGTAGGCAATCTCAGCAAGCAAGTATCTCTGTCTGAAGGAACAACACAGCAGTCTAAGGAACAAATCTTAAAATCCAAGCTCTCTTAAGCTAACCATTTTATTACAATTTTAAAAAAACCCCTCATGCTACATAAATTTCACATGGAGTAGTGTAAATGGTCTGTTGGTACAGATCATAAAATGTTACTTTTAAATACGGATTCCTCCTTGAACATTCTTTTCAAAGTATCATTCAGCAAAGGATTATCTCTCACAACAGAACTTCCAGGTTGCTGGTGTCCCAAAAAAGATGTGGCAGTTTAGTCAGAGCTCAGTGCTAGAGAGACAGGGCTAAAGAGCATCCTAAGTGGTACTGCTACCTCGAGATGTGGTGCAGAGGGGAGAAAGCCTTGGGGTTTAGCCCCCTTAGTGGGGACTGGAATATTACCTGTCACTTCAGTGAGAGCAGGAGATGATTCTGCGCAAGCACGAGAACTAAGTGAATGTTGGTGATCATCATGATGTTAGTAATCCTCATGATATCAGCAAGAGCTCTAAATAGATTTAGAAGTTCAGCTGAAAGTTAAACATTTAGTCATTGCTTTCACTTAGTGTCTTACCTATACTATCATTACAGGTTTTCTGGGTGTCATAAACTGCTGTGCAGGGTATCAATAAAAACGACATATGACTGTTCAGGTCTCTGCATTTGAATAAGCCCCATCATTAAAACTGATAATAGCACCCAGCACAAGGATTTTTTTCAGGCACAAAGTAGGAGGTGGGAAGATTCTAACGTTCCTGTATTTGTGCACACACTAAAAGAACTCCCACGTTAGCAGAGCTGAAGTGGCTGTGAGGAGCGGCGCACTCGATTGTCACATTCATATTTTCTGAAAAATCCCCTTGCCCAGGATTCTTCTCCTGGGAAGCTGAGAATCCTCAGGGAAAAAGGAAAACAAATTCTTATCTCATTTGCTTCTCCTGTGTTGTGCTCACATGTGGAATGTGGTTGGAGATTGTTTATCCAACTGGTGATTGTTTCATTGGATTCCTGTGAGATGTTTTGACTCATTGGCCAATCAGGGTTGGGGCTCTGGTAAGAGTCACGAGTTTTCATTATTATCTTTTAGCCTTCTATAAGTATCCTTTCTGTATTCTTTAGCATAGTTTTAGTACAGCATTCTTTATTATAATATAGTATCTTAAAATAATAAATTAGCCTTCTCAGAACATGGAGTCAGATTCATCGTTCCTTTGTGTGAAAAACACCAATCACTTGTGTTTAAAATTTTTAAAAGTTTAATAGTAATAAAATGGTTATAACAATAGTAATATAATTAGAGTAATAAAATTTGAACAATTGAGATTAGGACAACATGAGACAATAAAAACAAACAGATACGGACGTCTGGGTACCTTTTTCTGGGCACCACAAGCCCAAAAAAGGACACCCATTAACAGAGGACCAACCCTTAAAAACAATCGCCTGTTGCATATTCATACACCTCACACATGATGCATAAATTCTATTCAAACACAGGACTTTGTCTGGTAATTGTCAACTTCTCCTCTTAATCCTAATGGCATCTTTTTACTGAACAAGGCAGGAAGAAGTTCGTTTCTCCTGATGAAAGAGCAATAAATTCTCTTTCTCTGAAAGATTTAGATGTCCTGCAGCCGCCATCCACTGGGAGCACCTCATTCCTTTCTAAAAACAAAATATTCCACCTACATTGTTGTGATAAGGCACGAAATGATGACACTGACACTGCTGCTCTCAAGGGGAACAAAAAAGAAGAACTTTATTTTCTGACTCCAACATTTATAGTTTTCCAAAGGTGACAGTGGATTGGAAGGTGACAGTGCCACCTCTCCAATGCCACTGGACAGACCAAGGGTCCATCAATTCTCTCTACCTCCATGAAAGAATGCAAAACATAGGTTATTTACAGAACTGTGCGTGAGAAAGTTTGTTGAAAGAATGTAAACATCAGAAGGCTTAACAAAGTCTTAAAAAATCAGGGCAACACTACATAGTTCCTATTTTAACTACAAAAGTTACCTTTTAACTACGAAACTACATTCACCATACCATTAAAATGTTAGCACAGCTTTCTAACCTAACACACACAACATTCATTTTCATATTAGCCAAAAAGCCCATCCCAAAACACGCGCTTCCCACCCTTCGTCTGGGGGAAACGCGAGCGCGACGCTCGACCGCTCGCGGCTCGGCTTAACCTCGCCTCTCTCTCTCTCTCTCTGCCCCACCTTTGCAGCCACCAGCTGCAGAAGAGGAAATGCAACACGGCCACGTGCGTGACCCAGCGCCTGGCCGATTTCCTGGTGCGCTCCAGCGGCAGCGTGGGCGCCCTGTACCCTCCCACCAACGTGGGCTCCAACACCTACGGCAAGAGGGACACGCCAGGGCAGCCTGGCGCGGAGCCCCGCGGCCGCGCACGGCTCTAGGCGGCTGTTGAGAGCTGTTTTTAATGTGTCGGCGACCTGTTGGTGGTTTATTACTTGTACAGTCTTAGCAGTGCCTTGTTTTCCCCGCGTGTGTGTGATCTGTGTTCGGCGTTGCGCTGCGCGTGTGCCGCGACGCGCGCGGGCCGCCCTTTCAACTCCGTTAAGAGCTCCAGAAATCTGCTTGGTGAATCCCCTTGTAAAAATCCACCGTGGTAATAAAATGCAAAAGTAATTGCAACAAGGTTTTTTTTAATCATCATTATTATTATTATTATTAAAAGGATGAAAAAATAACCCATGATGTGTATGTCTTTGTAAAGTTCGTAATTAAAGAACAACAAATGTTCTTAATTAAACAAGAACAGAATAGCTAACAAGAACAAATATGTTGTTAATAAAGAACAAGTATCAGAATGCTAGCAAAAGTGATGTCCTAATGAAAGTAAAACAGAGGAATCTTCTGGTTCTGAGGCATCCACTGCAGGTTGTTTTGTACAGCTGCAGGAATAGCTAGAGGAGAAAAGATGCTGCACTGTGCACCATGATCATAGAATTATGCAGTTTACTGACTGGTCTGTGTTCACCACAACAAACAAGCAAAGAAACTGGTCTTGCAGCACAGACTTCTGTGCCTGCTTTAAGAATTTGCATTTGTTATGTAAAGATGGTATCAATAAAATCTAAGCATAATGAGTGCTTTTAAATATGAATTAGTTAAGGCTCTCATAACAATCTAGCAGAAACTCCAGTCCCTGGGTATCCCTTTCCTTGAAGCAGAGTAACAAAGGGAAAAGAAAAAAAAAAATTAGTAGTTCAAGAATCAAAATGCTTCATAGAAACTCAGTAATTTTTTTCACTGGAATACTTACATTGCTACCAAAATCCAGGAAAATATATCACAGAAGGGCAGACCTTAAAGAGAATCTGGCAGTGTTATCGTCTCCTATCTCAGCCCAGAATCAGTGCAGGCTTAAAACCCTTTTAAATCCTTTAAATTGTTAGGCAAATTTAGATAGAGGTGGCATCCTATATCACAGAAATGGCTGGTTTGACCACACTTCCTCAGTGAAGGGCTCACTGTCATCAAAAAAAACATTATTGTCCAATTACGAAAAACATTCAGCAGAGCCTGAGTTCTGGAGAAGCAAATGAAAGTTTAATTACTGCCTTCAGTTGGTTTGTTTCTGTGATAAAGTATACCTCCAAATAGAAACATTTTTGCTACATTTAATGTTAAATGACATGTTCATTTCACAAAAAACCCAATGGGAATAAAAATTACTGCACAGGATTCCTACTGTAACAGTGTTACTAATTACCCTCTTTATTGAGGAAAGTTTCAACCTTCATTAATGTTCTAATTAATGATATCAATCCTGAATTTTATTGAGAAAACCATTTTTATATGGCATTAAAGTTGTCTAATATTTCTGCCAGCTTGAAATGCTTTCCCTCCCAGTTACTTTTGAGTTATGTTGCACACACACTGTGTGCCCAATTTGTGTTTCAGTTAGAATATTTGTGTTTCAGAACACAAATAAAGTGAGAGGAGGGCTCTGGAGTGTCGCTGTGACAGTGTTTGTGCAGAGGAGTCACCAAGTGGAGCCTTCCCGGGGCTGGATGCTGATTTCTGCTGATCCCAGAGATCTGGAATATGGGCAATGCTTCATGCACCAGTTTTGTGTTTTCAGCCACCATCTGACAAACCCCAGCAAAGCACAGGCTGCCCACGCACAGGGCAGCTGGGGACGTGAATTTCTGCCTTCTGCACTCCTGAGTCTGCTGATTTGATACCAGCATCCGTTTCACATGGTCAGACTGTTCCAGAAACACTGAAAGATGGAACTCCCATCCCAAATTCAGTGAAATCACAGAGAGAGAAGAGAGGGGACCATCTCACCTGTCCCCAGCTCCTCTGTGTCCAACCAGCTGTCAGTGCACTCCTGCTACCTGGTGGAGGAAAACAGCTTCTTCCAATCCATCCCAGCTTAGACATCTATTTTAGGATGGGATTAATCACTCCTGAAGTGCCTCTATTTCTTCCCTGATGATAGAGAGTGTCTAGACAATTAGCTGAAAACGAGCACTTAACTTTCAGATAACTGCAGTTAGGTGACAGGAATCTCATCTGCATTCGGTATCAACTGCTCAAACTAAAATCAAAGGGAAAAAATTTGGTAAAAATAACCCCACACCACCAACACTTCAGACTCCAAACCACCTTGTACTCTGAGCTAGGTTGGTTAATTCACCAGCCAGAGCAGCCTGAGAAACTTCCTGCAGTGAAACTTGTATTCCCTCCCCCGAATTCCCTGGAGAACACAGCTCTGCTCCCTTTCCTCCTGCTGCTGCTGCAGTTGTGCCTCTCAGAGAAGAAGGATCTAGCCATAGTAAGCCTGGATACAAGCACAATCCTGAGCAAATGAGCCAGGAAAAGAATGGATTGAAAGGGGGGAAAAAAATTAATTAATAATAAGCATTTAAGCGTTGTTTCGTCAGCTCTGCAAACAGCATAACCAGAATTTTCAGAATATTTAAGTAAAAAAATAAGTGCCTCTGTCCTTTTTTTTAAATCCCAATATGTATTTCTCAGCTTCTTCAGGGATGTAAATATTACTTGAGAATCCAGCCTTACATAGCTTGGGTTCTTTTTCAATTCATCTGGACTCCCTACATCTTTCAGAGAATATGCAAGCAAACAAAAAATACAAAAGAGGAAAATTAAGAATACAGACAATGTGATAAACGTGGCTATATTCCCTTTAAAAATTACTAAACCTCTGCTTTTTTAGTATGTTTTATGAAGTTGTGTTTAAAAACAAAACAGAATAAGGACATAATATTGAATTTCACTAAATGAGAAGGGGAAGAGTAAAAGTCATCAAACAAGCAGAAGGATTGTTAAAAAAAAAAATTGCAGGAACATGAAGAATGTTTTAAATGGAGTAGTGGGCCCTAGGGTCTAATATTTCTTAGGAACTATGACAGCTTCATAAAAGACAGGATTTAGATTTTCTCCTGATGAATAGAGTTGAGGAAAGAAATTGATTTCACTTGTAAAAGCTTAGGGTAAAACTAAGAAAGCACGCAATATTCATGAAACATAAAATGTATTTTACTGAACAGCAAATTTGGAATTAATAGTTTCAATTTATATGAAACAAATTGGCTATTTTTCAAACAAATAAGTCTCTTGATGAGAGTTTTAAACACCAGCCTGACAAGGCTTCCATTTACTGGGAAGCTTTAATTTAATGGGATTAGTTATTAGAAAGTCTGGATTTTACTGAATGGCTTTCACTGCTTGAAAGGTAATATATTGATACCATAAATAAAATCCTTTTCCTGCACTGAATATCTTCAGCTGCCATCTTCAGTCTCTAGATTGATGCTGGCTTTGAACCAAGGAGCTTGGCTTTACAAATTTACAAACACAGTTTGGCAGGTGTGCTGGCTCCTTGCTCCCAGGGACAAAGCTTTGTTAATTTTGTTAATTTTGAGCACAGGAAAGGGACAGCTCTGCATTCCCCCTGCAGTGCAGTGAGCTGAGGGGTGGCAGCTCTCCCTGCCCTGCACAGCATAATGGCTGAAGTCACACGAAACTGAATTCTCCATGGGATGTGACAACTTCTGTCCCAATCATCCTGCTCTGTTCTTCTGTTATCTCTGTTTTCCCACACTCAGAAAAAAATCCCACACTGAAAAACAAAATATTTTCGTGGAGCTGTGTAAGACTCCAGAGCCAGACTCAAGCTCAGAGCTGAAATCCACAACCTAAACTAAGCTTCAGTTTAGGAATAAAAATCTGGATTCTCTAGTTTTCCTGCAAACTTTAGACAAATTGGTTTCCAGCTGCAATTGATATGAAAACTATCTATCCCTTATTAGATTCAGTTAAGAATTCTTTCTCTAACTAAAACCTATCTTAAAATCTTAACAAAAAAAATGTTAACAAAAAAAGTCTCTAACTAGGAATCATACATGCCATGAATGTTAAAAGTCATGCCATCAAAAGCTCACTAAAGAACAAGACAGTGATGATAAAACAATAGTTAAAATTGCTGTTCATTGTGCAAAAAAAAAAAAAAGTCTCCTTGAATGCTAAAACATCTGAATGAAAAAAAAAACTCAAATGCATTTTAAGCCTAACAATAGAGCTGACTAGAGTAACAATCATGCCATAAAGTCACTATTTCTTAGAAATGCTTTTAAAAATACAAAATATGTTTAATTATTCAAATTAAGAATCTTAGATCTGCCCCTACTATAATAACTTTTTTCCTCTCCACCTTACAAAACTCTTTTTGATCCTGCATTAGAGACAATGAAACTGTTTATCTTTTGCAATATCCTAATATCCTAATTAGAGCACAGGTAAACTGAGATCTGCTGCAGAACAGCTAGAGACATTTATTATTTTGCTTTTCAAAAGGGATTAATATACTAGGATGTATCAAAATAATTGGAGTTGTAATAAATAAATCATTACACAAGTGAATTTAAATAGCTGGGATCAATTTTAAATGAAGTGCTCCTCAATAGGATTACAATAGCATTAAACCCAGAACATGCTTATTATTATTTACCCTCTCAACAGAGGCAGATCAGGTTTGTTTTTTTCCAAACAGAATCAGTCCTTATTCATTCCTTCCCCTTTGGAAGGAGTCAAAGTGGGACTTGCTTCCACTGGGGGAATTGAGCTAAAATTTCAGCAGCCTGTGATTGATTGTCAGTGCAGCACTGAGGTGCTTAGCTTTCAGAAGATGGGGCATTTTTAAACATAATTCATTTTAAATATCATTCTGTGTTGCATGTCATACTAGCCATATAACAGAGAAAAGGATTTTTTGTAATTTGTCTATTTGCTTGTTGGAAGGAAGGAAGGAAGGAAGGAAGGAAGGAAGGAAGGAAGGAAGGAAGGAAGGAAGGAAGGGAAAGGAAAGAAAGAAAGAAAGAAAGAAAGAAAGAAAGAGAGAGAGAAAGAGAGAAAGAAAGAAAGA